ATGCTAAGCATATCCTCATCTGTGTGTGAATCGAATGCTTACCCTAATCCACGATTTATATTCTTGGGATCGACATTTGAAAGTGTCCTCCGAGGAATCCGTATCGCCTTCTTGCAGGTTTCGATTACCTTCGTCATCTTCTTCTTCAAGCCCCTGTTGGATACCGAACATCAACAACTCGTTCACCATGAAATTCATATTTTAGTCAATATCTCACTTTTCGGGACGGCCGTCATTCGGCAAGGCTCCCATCGAGAAATAGGCTTTGACGTCCAGCGCCACCGACGACGGGATGAGAAACAACTTCGTGCATCCGTAGCGCTTATTCCTGCGATTCATCCGGAGTTCTCTCAATCCCTTCCTTGTTGGAGAGAAAGTTCGGCGACTTTGAATGCCAGTCAAGTGCCAGTAAGACGTGTCTTGATCAATCCTTAATATTAATTAAAACCAGTAATATTAAATCATTCAAATAAAAAAGTACTTCACATGATATAACTAATGTTTTAAAATAAATAACATGAGGTAATAATATTAATCATAATAATTAATAACCTTAATCCAGGGATTGAGTCGATTGTCACGCCTCGGTGTTCGGCCAAAGTGAGGTTTTGCAGTTCACTTTCCTGGGTTTGGAGTTGCCGCTCGATCATCTCCAATTGCTCCGTCGTCGGTTTCCAAGTTTTCTCCCGGAGCTGCAGAATGGGTACGTCGGGGAATTTAGAGGCTCGGAAACTGCGGAAAACGGAGAGAGAAAAAGAGAGGCTTACTCTTTCCAAGTGATAGAGAAGGGGCACGATGTACGAGGAATTCGTCACTTCCGAGAAGAAGTCGCTCTCGCAGTCGTAGCATTCCCGAGGATAGATGCTCGCGAGAAGTCCGGGGCAGCGGGGGCACCAGATCCAGATGAACCTGGTGGCGTTGAGCGTCCGAGGCCACGGCAGTTGCAGCAGCACGTCTTGGGTTGCCGCACTGATCGACATTTTTTGGGGGAATTTGGGGAAGTGAGGGGAATTCTGAACATTCGCTCTAGGAAATGCTGCTCTACTAGTCCATCGATACTTTTTAGGTTTAATACTGAATACTTTTTAGCGACTGCGTACACATCTTCGAAAGCCAGTTAGGCTTGTTTACGAAGAAAAAACTAACCTTGTAGAGAGCCTGGGAGACGGAACGGAGAGGACGTTCTCCGCGTCGAAGAGGTAGAAGCGGATGTCGGAGGCGTTGCCGCTGGCGAACCCCGGAAGGACGATGGATCCCTCGTCGAGTACCACGAGGGGCCCCCTCGTGGATGCGCCGTTCCCGTCCAAAGGCGCCCGTGCTCTCATACCGGGCAGCCGGCAGGGCTCGAAGGACCCGGGGATGTCCACGTGGGCCAGACGCTCCTGGTTTGCAAAGGGGAAAACGGCCGCTCGTTCGTACGTGGGCTTCCAGGAATCCTATCCTATGGCTTGTATTTTTCCTCAGGTCTCGATGAAGAGATGGAGCATCGTTGATATTTATGATCATGCATGAGGTAACGTCGTCCGAGACGCGCCGATTTCTCTCGTTTTTCACCTATCGTGTAGTCCAATGAGCTTTTCTGAAGATCGGGCTTCGAATTTCCGAGAACATTCTTACATTTGATTCCGAAATCCTCGAGAAACGCGACGTCTTTACCGTCTTTACCCCGGTGATGCAAAAACGTGATTCTATTCCTTGTTTCCATCACCGACACACTGAGACGGACCGACGCACGAAGACGAACCGACACACGGAGACGGACCGACACACCTTGCGATCGGGGACGTAGATGGCGAACCACGCGATCTCTTCTATGGAAGTCCCTCGAGGCAGCCGCAGGAAGACGGTCTCGTTGCGAAAGTCCCTCAGGGGCCTATCGCAGATCCGAACGCATCCTAGGCATGGCAGAGCCAGCTCGGTTTAGAAAAAAAGGGAACTAAAGAAATTGCTCACTCTTTGGATCCTTTAGTCGGATGGGGCACCGGGATTCCGTTCCTTCCTTTTCCGACGTAGAAATACGCACCTGGGAGAGCATGAAATTATAGGAATGACCTCGGGTAACGGGAGATGTCTTGCGACTCACATACGAAAGGAAGTAAATTAAGTGGTGTAGCGATAACGGGAACGCATACCGCTCTGCAAAAAAAATTATTCAGAGAACTTGATTCAAATCTGAGTCCTCATGAATGATGTTTTCATGCTTGCTGAAATGATGTCAGGCAGAAATATTTGGGTTGGAAAAAAAGTCTGGCAACACTTTCTAAAACTATTTATACCATTTTTCAAAGGAATGATGGGCGGGGCTTTGATTTGTATATGCTGGAATGTTCTCGAAGCTTCTGCCCTCGGGGTATATTAGGCGGCTTCTGCCATTACTTGGCAGCCATGGCTCCTATCGAAGAAGCAACTCTTCGCCCCATCGTCTTCTAGGAGTTCCTCCAAGGACACTCTGAACAATGGTCATTACATTGTAGACTGAAATTGCATTTCAATAAAGTAATAAAATTTTGACAAATTTGCGCAGTGTTGCAATACTTTCTTTCCAACCCAATATTTTAGTTTCGTCGACGCGAAGAACTCGCTAGGGCGATGGGTATCTTCAGACGGTAGAGATGTATGAAACAGCTGTAAATGCTAATTGCAACAGCTGTAAATGCTAATTGCAGCAGCTATAAATGCTAAATGCAGCATCCGCAGGAAATCGATGCTCTCGCAATTGGCAAGCAGGATGATGGCCACTGCAGAAAAATTGACGGGACTGGAACCAAGGATTAGTCGATGACATAGGCAGGTGATTTTCGCCCATGGCTTACGAAGCAAAATGATCCAAGCAGCCGGTGCATGGGGGGCGTGGATAAGCCCAGTGGCTTTCGTGTCTTCTATTTTTCTTTCTATTTTTTTTTCTCCCAGCGAAGTGTCACCCCCAATGTTATTTGGAAATTTTTTACTTTTTAAAACAACTTCACAGAGTACAGACTCTTTCCGTGGAGATTCAGGGATTCTAGGCGTAAGGCCCCCATTGACTTAGTCTATCCCCGTTCCTCGGATCCGCCCTTGCGAAGCTGGAGCCGCAGTCAATGAAGTTCTCGTGAATTCATTTGAGACGAGGGCGAGAAGATTCCATCGGAAATCCCTTCGCGCCCTTGGAAGGGAGCGTTTGCATACTTGTCCCGATCCTATCGGGCACGAATTTTCGCGGAAAATGCCACTTGGCATCGAATCCGTTCCCTCGTCCCTGCATTCGATAACGAGTAACCCGTCACAATAACGTCGTCACCGGCGACACGTCCCATCCTCACCTCGCCCGTCCGCGCGGTAGGAGAAGCCGAGGAGCAGGAGGTGCTTCCGGCTCACCGCGTACACGCTCCCGCTCGCGTTCGCTGCGTGCACGGACCCGTTCGCGTTCGCTGCGTTCGTGGTGAGCTCTCCCAAGCGCCCGCTCGACTCCCAGCCTGCATCTGTGAGGAAAAGGGATTCCTTCAAATTACGCACTTCGAGGGGGTGTCCTGGGGCCTGCACGACTGAGACTGCGTGCTCGGCGCAAAAATTAGCTTGGCAAACTAATTAAATCTGAATGATCATGAATTGGAATACGTTCCTCCTCTGACTATATATAATATATATATATTTCATAACCCATTAAATTTGCCTCATTTGTGGAAAGTACCAATAAAAAAGGTGAACGTCAACTTCTAATGACTTGCAATTACCGTGTTTCCGGATATTTCAGATTGTTGTGACAGCGATAAAAAACGCATCACAAGTAAGCGATATTTTTACTAAAGAAAGAATTTAGGGTTTATCACATTTCGGATAGCCAAATATAGGATGCCTTCCGCTCGCACAGAAATGTGAAAGAGGAAAAGGAGGATATATCCTGAAAAAAAAACGGACTATGGTAACTATAGCCTCAGGAATGGAATTGCATTTCATAAGGCGGTGGGTAGAAGGCAATTGAGTCGCATAGGAGGCAATTGAGTCCACTGCCCTCACCTTTACATTCGGGGAGCTGGGTCCTGGCCGGGGAGCGTCGTCGAGTGAGGAGTGGAACGGCACAGATGGCAATCACGATGATGAAGACGCAGGCGGAGATGGCGTATTTGGTCGTCGACCAACACTGTCGCCACCCTCGTTTGTCTATGACCGGTTCCCGGTCGTCGATGCTCTCGTCGTTGTCCATGCCGACGGGAGACGCGATCCCGTAGGGCTGAGGTCTCGGGGCACAGTGCGGGCGACCGAGATGCACGCGCTGCCTCACTCTGATTCTGTTCCTCCCTCGAGAGGCACGGAGAAGGCGGCTACCCAGGCGGCATTAGACATTCGAGGTGTCCGAAGTCCTCACAACTGGAGGACGCACGTTGGGTGCTTGGTGCAACCGGGATGGCCTCGGGGTAGAGTCCTGCAAAAGCCAGTTTTTTATGCTCGGTCCTTCAACTTGCACGAGGTCAGGAGGCATTCCTGTCCATGCAGCAACTCACTGCCACTGTCTTTGTCAATAATGGGTCAGCCTGCTACGAAGACCTTCGTAGACACGGAAATACGATAATGCCATGACAACCGGCAGGGCCGGCCTTACACTATTAGAAAAAGGGGAGCGATTTTTCTCAAAAAAGAGAGTAAAATAGCTAACTCCAATTTCACCCCCCTTTCACTCTGGAAAAGGAACAAATTTACTCCATCATGAAGGAGTAAAATTGCGTTCCTCCTCCGTGAGTAAAAACGCTTTCATCAGAAAGTGATAGGGATGTCGTGCAAATACGAAAAATTCATTATATACTGTGTGTCGCTATCTCTCTCGTACATGCGTTGATCTACCACTGACTGTACTGATTACATCAGACGTCAGAGGGTGGATCACCTCTTATAGGTTCCGTGGAGTAGTCCGGGATATCAGTCCTGATCACCACATTTATTGAGGCATGAGGGAATGAAGCTCACGGACATTCATTATACATACTACATCTCCAATGCGGATAAAGCATCCGTGTTCCAAGGGGGTTCTCAATAGGAATATGAGCTTGTTTATGGCATGGACTCTATGAATACATCTTGGATATGCGGATAACAAATGATGGAATGTCCGTGTTTATTGATTCCTATAATGAGACTAGGCGAGACATATGGGGAGGTACTAAACAATCCTGCTCGGGACGATTCCAGGGAAAGAGGGAAGGCAACTTTTGTATACTGTGCGAAAAGCGAGACCCTTACCTCCATCTAGTGGCCTGGCAAAGAACTTGAAGGTGTTCACTTCAATACGAGCGATGAGGGAGCATTTGGCGAGTAATAAGAGAGTAAATTCGAAAAGCTCACGGTGTGCTCACTTTTTACTCCCGAAACGCTCGGAATTTTCTAAGAGTGTATGACATTTCACGGAGTTCTCAAAGATCTTTACTGACCTGTAGCATTCTGTCATGCCAAGTACAACCTGCCCAAAGCTCAGGAAAAGATTGCGGACTAAAATCATCCAATTTGCAAAACTGAGATCGAAGTGTCGTATCCTCTGGTCATTTCTCCCCTGCTCAGATGCAGCTTCTAAAGGAGGGGAAAAGGCCCAAAGAATGGGAATCCAAGGCGTTGGTACAGGTTGTATGCCTCAGAGCCTTGTCCCCTCTTCTCACGCGATTCAGGTACCCTATATCCAGTGGCTGCTCGTGATATTTCGCGCTAGTGGCTTGTCTATGGAGAGGGGATAGTCAGGGGAGGGCGCTGCCTACCCCCTCTCCATAGACGAGCCACTAGCGCGAAATATCACGAGCAGCCACTGCCTATTTCCATTTATACCGGGAAATGGATCTGGCAGCAAAGAGCACGCGCATGGAAGTGGGGTATGCACAATTATACCCCACTCAGAGGCTTATCATTCCGCTACCTCAGCTTTGCCTGCTTCGGTATGTTATATATTTCACAAAAAACATAAATTAATGTTCAAAATAATGCCCGAATAAAGAGAACCAGAGTGGTTGATATGAGGAAAGGCGACAGGAGCTCAGCTGCACACTCTTTCACGCACCTTCACGTGCCGCATAGGCATCTGAGAACCCTCCGAGCTGCCAGGCACGTGAGCACGCTGGAGGGCCTTGCTTCGTTAGACTCAGAACTCTCATCGAGACGGGATCCTTCGCTCAAATCCTTCAAACCTCTGAACTGCAGTCCTTCACCGCCAGACTTGCCGTGGAGCACTCGTTGGTCGTGTTGAGTCTCATCTGCTTCCATGCCTCACTACTCCGCGATGGCGCTTGTCCAAGTGCAGGAGTTTTGCCGTGGTTCTTCATGAATTGTGGCTTTGTGCGTGTTTTAGAGGCTGGTGAAAGTGATTACACGGCTGTTCCGGATTCTAGACGGTGCTATTGTCATTTCAGAAACTCAGGGGGATACCTAATTCGCAAAATTTTCTGGTTTCCTCCTTCGCAAAGTAGGTCCCTTTCTGTTGGAAATCCACGAATGGCCGCAAACATAACTGTTCCAGTTGACGTAACCGTGCCTACAGGCGTTATACCCTGTTTCGGGGGAACAGTGATCGGTATCGGAAACAAACTGAATCTCGAAACGAACATCACGCGGGAGGGATTCCGAAATATTCTGAACAGGTTCGCATTGAGCGACATGAAAACAAGAAACATAATTCATTATCATGGCAGAAAATGTTCGCTTACTGTCCGAGGCTGAGGAGGAGTAAACATTCCCCGCCATACAAGGTGTTACAGTGTTTCCTGAATGACTTGATTTCCAGCATGAGAATCACCAAGAGGCCATTTATAATGGGTTGATAACTGCCTTTTTGGTGTTCTTTAATTCCTGGAAACACCTCTGAAATATGAAGGGTAAAGTGAATCCGCAAAAAATATCAGAAAAAAAGTTAAGTTCGTAAGACTGCACATTCAATAATATGCATGATTTCAGTCAGAGTTGTAAGGGGACCATTCGTGTTTTGTTGATAATTTCTGTTACATGGTTTGCTATGGACATTTTTGAGCATGAAGCCGTGTGACGTAGAAGAGGCCTGCTGAAGCACTAATGAGACGCGGACATATAGGTATGGCATATTTTTTTCTTTTTACTTTCTAGGTATGCATAAATATAAAAGTTACACGTGGTATTGATATGTATGGTTCACCCTGTACTTCCAGGGAGCACCTCTGCAGTGCATGATGCGGTGCAGCCCTGATGCCCATTTCTTTAATGAGTCCATGAGTTAACTATGAACTACTTGATCTTCATTGGAGAGGATCTGGAAGGACGTTCGTGAAGCCGATTATTATGCGACGTGGTCATCATGTCTAACAAAAATGTCTAGAAAATTGTTTGCGTGTCCGGAATGTGAACTGCACTTCATGTTTTGCTCATATAGGAGGACTGACAGTAAAATAACGAGACTGACAACACTGTTATGCGTGTGGCATCACTGGGTTACTGGCGATTGCTGTAATCTGTCAGTGCATGTCTTTAATCTGTGCAGTAACAAACTTGTGATACTTTTGGTGATTGCAGAGCAGCACCACTTTACCTAAAGTAGTGTATGGGGCACTCGTCAAAAGAATGGGTGATAATATTTTGGGTAATATAATGGGTGATAACATTTCCACGGGAAGCAAAGTGGGGAAAAGAAGTTGAGGGAGGGGTAAGGGGAAGGGGAGGGGAGGGCCTTGGATTTGGGGATCAGGGTTCTCACCAAAGCATATGCGTCACACTAACACAAAGAAACGCCTTTTATGCATGATGTAAACCAGAGAGTGCCCCGAGAAGAAATAAATCGTAGTTAACGTGTAAAACAAAAAGTAAGTTAATATCCGGACATAATAATTTCAGAGGCAATTATGTACATTATTGCTGAAATACTTGTATTCGACGGGCTCTGGGAGTCACTTCTCTGAACGACATTTTCAAGTGACTCGTCCGCCATCTTTGCCTTTTTAGCCCTTTGCCTCTATGTCAGGTGTATCGCTTTCTGGCGACTCACTTTTCCAAGTGTTTCTGTAGTAATGTGGAGTTTTTCAATGCTCCTTTAAAAAAAAAGACGATTTCGAAGACACGTCGGTGTCACTTCCTTCCCTTGCTTTTTGCAGTTCAAACTTTTTCTCACTTACCCCTGATTTCCTGGGGAGAAGCAGAACAACTGTGCCTTCATTTGGAGGGTGAATCATGCGTGATCATCGCGACACTGCAGTTTCCCCTAACGATGGGCTATTTTCTTCTTTGGTCTTCATGTCTACTCTTCTAAAGCATGCCAGGTGGATTCAGAAACAAGTGAATTAGGCGTATTTCCCCATGCCGGAGAGTTTTTCCCCTAGTTAAATCTACGGAGGGGGGAGGGGAACAAATATGAGTCTCGAGAAACTCGTCGGCGAATGACAGGTGGATTTACACTGAGTGAGGCATCGACCTGGTTCCAAATCCACTTTATATCCACGTTGTTCGAAAAGGTGGAAATATTCAAAATGTAAGACTTTGAATGACTAGATGCGCCATAACTGGGACTGGTTGTGATCAGGATGGTCCATATCAGTTACGCCTTTAGGAAAATAACTGAGTAGGCTGTATGAAGGCACTCAAGGAAAATACGGTTAGGTACATTCACAACATATCGAATGTGAGACTCACGTGTTAGGTTGATACAATAATTTATTGCGAATCGCAATGCTCCTCAAGGTATCCGCCCGAAGTGACATTCAGCTATATACCTATAACCGTATGACGCAAGAACTTATCACCCATTTTGGCCAGTTTTCCAATCAGAGTAATATTTCTATTTGCTGGCGTGTGCCCATCCCAGTAACCTCCAATTACCCGAAGTGACTCAACTGTATGATCCGAATTTATGTAGTTCGTTCTATCCAAGAAGCCAAAGTTGATCCACGCATTGTACCAACCATGAACATTGGAAATCAGGGTCCAGTTGCACTGACGCAGATCCGAATCCCTGTTTCCATCCGGTTGTGTGGGAGTCCAGAACCAGTGGTGAGGCGTTCGGTAAAACCATATCGTGGTCACTCCAAAACTCCATGGACTGATCAGCACGCCGTTCTTCTCCTTCAATCCCATGTTCTCCAGCTCAGAGTAGTCATCGGAACTCAATATTTTAATACGGGCAAATTTCTCCCCAGTTTCGTAAACTTTCTCTAAAGCTGACATGGCGTATTTCATTCGCACTGACACATTGTATTCTTCGGTCTTATGACGCGCTTTGTGAACACCAATGACTTGGCCATTGTGATCTACCACCATGGATCCAGAAGAACCGCGTTCCTTTGAAACGGTATGGAAGAAATCACAACCCCAAAACATCACCACTTCGCCAGAACAACAGGACAAATCTTCATCTCCGGGAAATTGGAGGATTGCTACTGCTTCTCCTTGCCTCAGAGAAGAGGAGACTCGTAAGAACTTACAACCCAAGCGTATAACCACCTCTACAGTTTCTCTGGCAAACAGAATGAAGGTAAAATCAAGAAGTGGGCATGTGAATCTGAATGTATTCGCCAGGATCGTTATACTCAACTTTGAGTACTTCGTTTCCACATTGACCACCTCCCCATCCTCGAGGGAGTCCCATCCAAGCACGTGGTGGTTGGTGACGAGCCCTTTCAACACTATGCATTTTTCAGATTGATTGAAGTAGAACTTCACGAAGGCCCCAGACCCAGTTCCTTCTCCAGTCTTGATTTTGCATGCACCTCTCGAGACATTTTCGATTAGGCTGACCATGAATGGCTCACCCCTTTTCTTCATTTTCCTTTCTTGCAGCAGGTAGCTCTCTTCGATTTGTTTCTTCACTGTATTACTGCTTTTATTTCCCATTGCGATAGACCTTGTAGATTATCAAATCATTCAGCACGATGCAATGAATGCATTTCGAGACGCATAATTGTTCCACAAATCGCCGCAGAATTCAATCGGTCCACCATGGATTTCGTCTTTTCCGCTGTTCGGAGAAATATTTCCAGTGTTTCAAGTTTTTGCCACGATTGTGTTCGGGTGATCTAGAATTACAGCTCGCACGGTATGACATTTCCGTGTGATAAGATATAACTATTTCCGGAAACGGTGAAACATTGACTTGTGCTTTACTTTATCAGTGGGGCTCAGAGATTTCAACGTAGTATGATTTGGGGAATTCACCCACCATTGAAAATGCTTTCACCCTCTCTGACCCGTTGCAGAATTCCTACTCTATTAATGAAAGCCATCTCAGGCAAATAAGATGAAGCACTTGTCATGAATATCTCCAACTGTAATCCTAGAGAATGAAAAAGGTGTTTCGGTGGTAGAGACAATATACGAGGGCTGGTCAATGTATTCTCGGAAAAATGCTTTTATTGTTCTCTGATTTCGCCAATTTTTTCAGGATACTTTCTTTAACATATTAGTACTTCTCAAAATATTTTCCGCCATGATCGATGCAC